CAGCCCCGGCTTTTAACCACCCGCGCTGCCTTCCCAGCCACCCCTGCCCCTTCTTCTGGGTCGCATTTAAAGGCACAGACACCTTTTGGGCGTACAAGCTGATGGTGTATAGGAATACCGGATTGGCACAAAATCAACCCAAGACAATTAGCTTGTGGGCTTTTGCCTTGACTTTGTGGAATTTTCTTGTATACTGCAGCAGAAACATTCAGGTTTTGCTTAGATATGTGTGAAAACACTTTTCTGGTTTGTGTTATTTTGGCTTTACCTGAAAGAATTGGATCATCATCCTCCTGAGTTTGAAATAYTGCTTGGTGGTTGAAGTCTTTCTCCTTGCATCATTGTCTTTTCTATCTCATTTCAGTGCTCCAACAAACCTCCCAGAARGAGTTTTTCCATTTAATTTGAGAGTACCTCTGTGGGCGTTTGCCACAGACCTTACATCTTGATTCAAGGCGCAGTTTTCTGAACTGATGTATTTTTATCTCCTAACTCTTGGCTATTCTAGGGTTTCACCCCAAAATTTCACTTGTAYCTCTGTTTATACATAAATTGACTAATGAGMCAAAYTGCTAATTAAATTTTGTATYSACRAGTAAGATTATAGTTCATTTGTATATAGCATGTTATATTCTGCATTTGCATGRTAATTCAGTTGGTAGWTCTGCTAAATAGACACTTTCAGCARATGATATTACARGCCTCRAGAATCTCATGAAATATTAGGGTTTAGGTTCTCAAAAATAGTTTTATTTTTTCCCCARGATCTGCTATGTTCTCTGGGCTTTGTTTCAATGATAAAATTTCTTTGCCTACTGATTTTCAAAGATAAATAATGTGAAAAATTAGTTTTCTGACAGTTGACTGAGACAGTAATAGAGGCAAGCATGAAGGCCCTCATCTCAGCAGGAAGGTGGCTTTCAAACCTAATCACAGACACTCAAGTGCCAACTTTGTTAATCACTTCATTGCAGGATAATACAGCATTATCTGAAGTTATCTTCCTTTRTTTGACAACCTTTCCAAGCAGAAAGGCGGCAGCCTCTTAGTTTTCAAACAGTGAAACCTTTAAAAATGCAAGTTACTTGTGATTAGGATGATTCTCCATTTGCATGGCAGTAAAGAGTTCCTTAAGGGTTAGTCAAACTGAAAAAGAAGAAAACAATTCAACTGAAAACTTCAGAGAATTTATTAAATATGAGGGGGTGTCCAGAGTGGGTAGGATGGTGATGCCCAGAAGTGAGAGATAGAAAGTCATTGAAGCTTGAAGGGGCAGTGTGAATGCCAGGAGGTGGATATTTTTTTAGTTCCAGGGCTGGAATTACACTGGCAGCTGCTGTGTTGATAATGGAGAAAAAAAAGGAACATGTTTCTACCCTTTTCTGATAAYAGGAAATCACTGAAAGGGAGGCTGAGAGATGGTCATGTTGTCACATTGCCAGCAGCAAGATAACAGTTTCTCTTGGAGTATTTTAGTTCCCAGTGGTTTGGAGGGAGAGGGATTTAATTACAGAGATCTGAGATAAAGCTCTTAATGCAAACATCCCGATGAAGATSGTGCCAAATTAGGACTTTGCCATCTGCACTTGTCTTCAGGAATCGGAAATRCAGGGAGCAGTGGCAGAAATGCAAGACTTGAAGCATGATTGCAGCAAAGTACAGGTCTTGCGTTGCCTCATGGGCTGTGAGGAGTTCCAGTGATGAAAAARTAGTATGGATAAGGTGTAATCTGACCATTAAGAGCTGCTTTTCCAGGTTTAAGTGTGGTCTTAATGGAATGTGACTGGAGTTCGAGAGGTGGATGACAGAATGAGAGAGGTTTAGTATGTATTGCTATGATGTGAGAGCTAAATTCAAGGCATAGATGGGGAACAAAGCAGTGTCTTGTGAAACACTGTGGTGGAAATGAACAGTTCAAGATGTAAAATGTCAAGCAGATGTGTAAAAAGGAGTTTCTGAAAAGAGTCTGCAAAAGAATAGGTTAGGAGAGATACTTCACTGAAACAATTATGAGCTGGATTAATCAATAATTTGGGAAACTTTAGTGAAATTCAAGAATAAGCTTGAGAGAGAGTTTGTTGATGGAGGCCAACAGTKAACAAGTGCCATGACATGATGTAATTGGCTGAAATGGATTAATGAAGATTTATTTTTCAGGTATGATGACGTTCATGTTTTCATCATGTTAGACTGCACATTTCTTACTGTTATGGTTTGTAGGATGTTGGTATCTTCTTAAAATGAATTTTGTWGGTGGTGAAGTGATTCAGTACTTATAAACTAATACCTATTGCTGTTTAATAGCACTCATATGTGGGGCAGGATTACCAGAAGGTTTGTGTCTTTTCCTGTGGAAATAATACTTTAAAAGCATTATTTCTTCAAGCCTAGATAAATAAATATGGAACATTTTAGGTATAACAATAACTAAGTGTATATAACCATAAATATWGTAGTTGTAGATCACTGAAGTTCTCAAGGTGTTTGGATTCTCCTTTGCCTTATGTTAGTAGGTTGATGTGGACCAAAACATTTCAAATCAAATGTATTCAGCTCTAAAAAAATCAAGATCAGGATTATGAAATTCGTATGCACAAATCACAGCTTCTTTTGAGTGCTTATGGAACTGCAACTGATAGAATTAGTGACTGTCAGTCACAGAGTTYGGGATGTTTGATTGTTGCTGCAAATCCATAGCTAGTGTGAAGTAAAACAGAAAATGACATCTTTTCTAATGTTTCTTGCTGTGCAAGAAATTGTAGGAATGTGAGTGGAATCCTAAAAAAAAAAAAAATGGTCACCAGAGTTTTCTCCTGATATTGTATAAATCCTTGAGCATTCCTTTGCTAAGGAATTTTGAGATATCTTAAGAGCTGATGAGTTTTTAATGGAGTCTCTTATGTTGTTGTTCCCCAYTGTGTTGCTCCTGTTAAAAGTAATACTCTTCTTTTTATGTGCTCAGAGCTTATTCTTACCCTTCAGTGCAGTAATTGTGGAGAGGGTGAACTTACTGGAATCCAYTGTATTTTTGTATAATGAAAGTGTTTCATTAGAAATGACATATCCTGGTTCACWTTCTGTAATTTGACTAAAGAAAGCAATTCAGAAAACATGAAATCTTATTTTTCCTTAGTCATTCCTGTTTTTATTGCCTRCTATCTCAAAACAGAGGCAAGAGGAGAAAACACTAAGCAGCATATGCTTTCAGGCAGTACATAATCAATGGACAGAAATATCAAAATGTGGAAGCATATTGATTAATTTTTCRATCTAACCCATGGACACAAACTGCAAAACACTGGGAAAATGCCTCAGCTGAAATGGTTTTTGCTGAGATATTTCAGCTGTGTTTGGTGGGCTGTGCTGGGAGATAAGGGGGCCCATTTGCCGTGAGCTGTTGGCTCTCTGGTCTTTCTGCTATTAATAAAGCAGCASCTTTTGATTAGTGTCAGCCACTGAATGAAAGTTTTTCTTGTTAAACAACTGGTGATCAGCTCTGTATTGCACAAATAAGTGACTCTCCAAATACAGCCTCCCATCAGGAAAGGCTTTGTTTTTATCTCCTTGTGTCTGCTTTGCAAGTAAATTGTTCCTGCTACAGCCCCTTGTGGYTTGATTCTCTCACCCTTGGTGACAGCAAAGCTTGCTGGCTGGTGATCTCTGCAGGGGTTTATGGCTCAGCTCTGCTGTTCTGTCCCTCTGTTCTCACTTCTCTGTTCCCTCCCCTACTGTGACTAAATAAATTACCTGTATGACATGTTCAGTTTTCTCTGGCAAGAAGCCTGGGAAATCAAATCTGTTCCCGAACCTGGGTCTCCCATTTAGCAAATACAATGCCTCCCTGCTGTTAAATCAGGTCAGCTYGCAGGAAAAACAAAGAACTATTTCATATAGCTATAATCAACACAGAGTAAATTTAAATAATGCTGCTGACATATGTTTATTGTAAAGACCATCAAGGAAATAATTTTAAAAGCTCTTCATCTTTGTTGCATTAGGATACATGTTGAACATTCTGTGCATAGAAAAGATCAAACATTTTCTTTCTGTTATCACATATCAAAGTGAAATATATCTATTTTCTGTCTGCTCTAAGAAGATTTTTGGTGGAGGGGTTTGTTGGTGAGAAACAGTTATGCATTCAATTACCCAGGCTTTGCGTAATTAATATTAATTGATACTTAACTGCTAATTACTATTAATTATTCACAACCTGTCTACTTCCTTTGACTTTCTGGTCTCTGAAAGTATGTACTTACAAGGGTTTAGAGTGGGATAAAGAAATGCTTTTAACAGGTTGCGGTCTCTTTTGTACCTCTGAAGTGGGTGCATTTCCCCGGCGTTGAGGCAGCGGGGCAGTGGCGGTGTGGCTGCAGTCCCGCAGCCTTGTGCGCTCACCTTGCAGGGGATCTTTTTAAGGACAGCTACAGTGTTTCTAATAATTGTTCAGTCATTCACGAGCTGTCTTGGCTCTAAAGAAGGCCTTTGTTGTTTCCTCGTTACTCTGAGATGCACAGTGAATGTTTTTTTATCAGTTTAAAGAGTCCTTAAAACTCCACTGAGTGAGGCAAATCCTTGGAATGGAATTTGCTCTTTATTGTTTGAAATCTTCGTCCAATGTACCCAGTGAAAATTCAGGGGTTAAAACAGAGAAGTGAGTTTTAAAAAATGGGAATTCAGTTGCCACTTCCACTGGGAATGACCTGAAGCAAGGGCCGTAATCTCCRTCCACATCAGCTGTCTCAAGGACTGACAGAAGTTACGTTATCTGTCCTCAACTCTGGCATATTGGGGCAGATTGCAGAAGTTGTCTGCTTCTGTAAGGTGCAGGATCTAACTCTGAAAGGCTTCAGCTGTTAGAGTAATATAAATCATTTCAGCCCTGWGTTGATGGCAAGGGCAAAGCCTGTCTCATTCCCTCCTCAGAGTCTAGGCTGGCCAAAAAAATTGCTGAGCTTGTTCAAACCCTGCTTCATGTCTTGTGTTCCCCAGCCTGTGACCTGATGACCCTGGGGATCCTAGCCTTGGTGACATCGACGGGCTGYGCCTCGGCCAACGCGCTGCAGTCGCTGACGGACGCCATGCACATCCCTCACCTGTTCGTGCAGCGCAGCACGGGTGGCTCTCCACGCACGGCGTGCCAGCTCAACCCCAGCCCCGAGGATGAGGAGTACACGCTGGCCGCGCGCCCRCCCGTGCGCCTCAACGATGTCATGCTCAAGCTGGTCACCGAGCTGCGCTGGCAGAAGTTCATCGTCTTCTACGACAGCGATTATGGTGAGGAAAGGACAGCGTTTCAGGCATTAAATTAATTTCTTTTTAATTGGGAGGTAGGGAGGGTAATAKAAAGGGAAGGGTGGAATACGACTTGCTGGGTTTTTTGTTGACAAAGGAGAAAGTGTTTCAAGTGGATGCAGGTCTTTGGCTTGAAGGAAAGGTTGCTGTSAAGAGTTAGTTCTCAGACAAGGAGCAAAGTTGCTTAGCAACACCTACCCAGACAGACAAAGTTTGAATCATCTCACACTTTCCCAGTAAAATATTAATTGAATGTTGACATGGATCGGCAGGGGTCACATAGGTGTGCAAGGAGTTCAGCATGGTCTCTCTACCTGTTCCAGAAAACACTTTCTATTAAGGCTGAGTATTGTTCTCATTAAAAATTAATTTTTGCAGTAACTATTACTTTTTTCATAYGCTTCCTCACACTATTCTCTATCTGGACTAAATTTTACAGTGATCTACTTTTGGTGTTAAACCAGAAAGTAGATTTAGCATTTTCATGAAATCTCATGTTCATGAAATTTCCTTCAGTGAAATTTTTACTTTGGGCTGAAACTTGAGGAAAAGGAGTCTCTGCCTAAGTGAATTTGGTACTGTATGATAGGTGTAAGGAATAATAAAACCCCAAATCTCTCACTGTGCTAGGTTCCAGAGGGAAAGGGAGCTGTGTATATTTTTTTTATATSTCCCCCCAACTGATATGGGCCCTGTTTCATACGTTAAATTTGTGGTATGTTCAGCACTCTTAGGATATAGGATCTGTAACGGGGAAAATGAATGGGGCAGGGGGGAAATAAATCTTCTGTGGTGTGTTTTAAAATCCTGTCCTGCTAAAACTTTTGCTTTAAAATGCACTGCATAATCTTTTGATGTRGTGATTTACCAAGAACAGCATACAAAAAAAAAAAGGAAGCTTAAGGTTAAATCACAGTTGGAAAAATAATCTTATGTGTGTCTATGCATACAGTTTAGTTTTTATRCAGTATTCCATAGTTGCAAAATAAGTTTTTATTTGCATTCTCTTTATATCCTCTCAGATTTTCAGTGGCAAGTCAGAGAGAAATAACATCTCTGATTTTAAACTTTGGTTAGTCTTGGTTTAAAAGCCCCMAAAATCCAGCAAGCAAACAAAGGAAAAAGCAACAATCCTGAGTCTGAAAGTGTTCTGAAAGTCTTGTGTGCAGATTTCTTTTTCAGTTTCTAGTTAGTTACTTGCTGTTTCTTCAAGAGGAACATTGGAGATGATGAGGAGGGTTTCAAATAAGAAATCAACTGTAACATCCTTTTAATAACATGGAATTGTTTAAGCATGAGAAGACTTCCATGATGCTTGTAGAGCTAATCTGTAGAATCAAAAATCTAGTAACCCAGTGAATAAACTGCCCTGTAATTACTGTCCTATGTGTAATGCTTGAATAGTGAATGCTTTGAAAGCAAAAGTCACAAGGTACATGGCTAAGTGTTCTTTTGCTGGCCTTGTGGTAGTGATGAGAAAGTTGCTCCTTAGCAGGAGATCGGGTTTAAAGAGTCAAAATTATTCCAACACTTTTTCCCTTCATTCTTGAAATAATTATCTCATAAGGACGTCTTAGAAACCCACTAAGTGCTCTGTGTGCAAACTGCTCCTGCCCATTTTCCCTGGTAGCCAATCTGCTTACTGAAGTATGCTCTCCCTTATTCCAGTGATGCATCTGGGTTTCTTTGCCTTTTTTTTTTTTTTTTTTTTTTTTNAATCCTGAATTCCCTAATTTGTATATTGTCTAAATTCAGTTATGATCAAATTTATCTTTTCCATTTAGCACAGGCTGTATCAGTAAAACAGTAAGGTTGTGGCAAGTTGCCACAGGCATTCTTCTCCTTCCAATGGGGAGTGTGGGGCACATTGCAGCTGACCATGTGCTGTTTTCTCTCCTTCTCCTCATGGCTGTGACATCCATCTTATACTAATTCTGCTAGGATAATTCTTTTTCATAAGAATTTGGTGGGAGGGGTTTCCATAAAGAAGCCAACTGAACCTGTCCTGTGTGGGCAGGGATCAGAGGATGAATTACCCAGTTCCCAGGGTATTGCACACTGAGCTCCAAAAAGAGATGCCTGGCTCCTGGGGCATGGCCCTCTCCTCAGCACTGAGCTTCAGAGCCCTGCTCCTTCTCCAGTGGCATCTCCCTGCTCAGTGGGCAGGACTTSCCTGCTGGTGTGATGAGGGAGGTGATCTGCTTGTGATTACAGAGAGTTTCCAGCGCTGGGCTTTTGTGCTTTTCTGTAATAAGCAGTCCTTCTCTACCTGATCTCTAAAGGCTGTACTGTTTCTTTGAGTAGTGTTTTAATCTGTTCATTTCCTGATTTATGAAGACCTGTAGTGTCCTCCATGTGGAATCTGTCAGATTTTCTGAAGACAGAATAGCATTTCACAATTTAAAATCCCATRTTTATAGTAATGCTGTGTTACATTGAAGCTGAAAATTATTTGTTAAGGTTATTACTTGTCCCTTCCCTGACATACATTTTTAATTGTAATTTCTGCACTGGCTGAATTATGGAAAAGTAATGGACTTGGCCATTAGAAACAGAGTAGTTTCTGAAGAGCCTAACAAGCCTGAAATATTCTTGTGAATACAATAAAATATGCTTTGTTTGACACTGAAAGATAAAAAGGTATGCACAACTTCAGTGAAAAGATATGGTCCTTTACAGTAAAATGCCTTAAAATCTGCAATAAGAAATTGAGTGTTTTGATAGGAAAGATGGCGAAGTTTTAAAGAAATGTTTGCTAAATGGAAGTGGTAGAAGCAGTGTACAAACTGTGGCATTCCACCTAAGGTGGAATTCCCTTGTGGTGAATGGATAATGGCTTGGCTCTGGACAGATGACCTTTCAAAGATTTGCAGTTGATGGTTGCAGCACTCAGTCTCCTCAATGATACTGTTCTACTGAGCTGTACCAACAGGGGAGAGCTTGGTTGATCATAATCCATTCAGCTTTCCTTTACTTACCTAAGAAAAATGGGTAGTTCRTACAGATATTGCATCTTCATGATGTAGCCCTTGTTTTTTCACTCATCTCATTTATGATTTATGTGTAATTTCAGAAGATGCAGAGAAACCTGCTCCCCATTGATCACCCTGGGAGCTCTGTTGCTGAGATTGACGTTCATTTTCTGCAGGAAAAAGCCAAGCTGACCCTAAGTTTGTCAGTGGCTCTTAGATGGTTCTCTTTGGAGCCAGGTCTACTCACCTGTAAACAAACATGCAACAGACTTCAGATCTGCTGTGCCATCCTAAAAAGATTCAGCTGTGCTGACGTGTTTTGAATTTTTTCCTCTACAGGAGCTTCTTCTGTGCCTCTACATATATTGCAACAATGTGTACAGGCCTGCTGGAAGTTTAATGTTTTATTTCGCTGACCTTCTGGGTGCAGAAGCATCAGTAATCAAATTGTCTGACAGAAAGATTGGTAGTGGGGCAAGTTTCATAAAGAATCTTAGCAAACTGTAAAATGACTACAAGTTAAAAGCAGTGGGTGCCACCCACAATGAGATGAGGTTGGGAAATAAACAGTTGGCACTGTGCTTCTAGGGTGAGCAAATAAACAGATGTATGGGTAGAGAAGGGTTTTGGAGGCTGGATAGCAAAATGAAAACAATGAGGAATATTAAGTCATGTTTCTGACAAGAAATGTGAGTAATAGCTATGTTTTCACTAGATGAACCTTACTGCTGAAAACCAGTTTTTAATCTCTGTAGGTAGATTAGTTCTCTTTGCTTTCCTACATATATGTCTGCATATCCATATTACAAAATGTAAGATAAAATAGGGTGTTTTCTTATGAGTCCACTTTATCGATGAAAATGATATTAGGCCTGTGAAAAGTAACTGTAATATTTTATTCTTAAGTTTTGGTGTCAGGAAGCAGGTGTTGTCTGCTGAAGAAAAGAATTGTATAAAAGTTTTACAGAAGAAACTTAAGAAGAATATTTGACCTTCCAAACCTGTATATAAGAGCATGGTTCCTACAGGGGAAAAACCCCAAGGCCACAATTTGATTTCTAAATTATGTTCAAAACTTTTTTTTTTTTTTAAATTTAGAGATCTGTTCTTATTCGTTGATGCTGCATTAGCTTTGAATTCCACTTGATCAGTCTTGCTATGTGKGAAGAAGTTAATTTTCAGTATGACTGGTTTTGTGGGAAGTTGTTTCCCMCAGCGATTATGTGGCAGTTTTATTTAGAGTCCTGCCTGTAAAGGGCCTCAGCCATGGTTATAAGTTACAGGAACTGTGCTATTAATAATTTTACAACAAGCTATTGATCCTGGAATGGTCTGTCTTTTGTCAAGATCCCTTTGTGCAGGCTGCTACTCTTGCAATTATTTAATTTGCAGAGGAATTTCATAATGGAAATTGAGAAATGCATAATGCATTTACACAGTCCACATGGAGCACTGCACATCATTTGTGATGCAAAGCATTGGCTTTCACAACAAAAAAAGAAGCAATGAAGAACATTTGTATATAAACTACTTTCACCTCACCTGCTTTAAGGTTTTCTTTAATCCTTGTCTGTTTATAACATAAGTTATCTTCTGCTTTCTGTATCATGGTTTCAGCTGTCAGACAGCCACTTCTGCATCACTGGGGCTGCCGTATTTCCATTGAACATGCCTTGCTTAGGGTAAATACAGGGAATCTGGCACTTGAGGTGTTGAGCCAGCTGCACACGTATTGGTGGGTGCCCTTTCAGCAATCTGACACTGCCAGGAAGTGTCAGACTTTTCCTGCGTGAGCTGTGTGGTTGAGTTTGCATGTGTTATTAAAAATACCTGTTTTTTTCCAAGTGGCTGGTACATCCCAGCTGGAACTGTTGTGGAGAAACTTGCATTGGAATTGCTGTTTGAATAGTAAGATATATAGAATTGAGGCAGCCAGCTGCAGAGAAATATAAATTCTTTATGGTCATCAATCTGCAGCAGCAATCACTTAGGGAGGGAATTGATGGACAT